CCCCGCCCCAGTGAGGTGAGTGGAGAAAGGCCCTTGGCCCTAGAAGTCAAAGTTGCTGTCCGCATGGGAGGACAGCCAGCCCTGAGAACTTACTAAGTGGGTTTTCAGTTTTACTTAATTACCTGGAATCTGTGATCCCCTGCTCCCCCCCAGCACAACCTTCCTCCCCAGCTGCATAATTGGCCCAGAGATATCTGGAAGGAAGGCCAGGATAAATCAGAATAAATGAACCTTTGCTCTTCAAAGTTGTTTTAAAATGCTTCTGTGGTTGAGGCAGCATCAGTCCTGTGGCAGATGGGACTTAAGGGGCAGGTGCCGAATCCAAGGTCAGTCAAGACACAGTGGTGCTTATGCCTCAGGGACAGGTCTAAAGCACGACAGGAGAGCGTGAGACCACAAGGATGAGCGCGGAGGGCGAGAGGGCCAGGGCACAGAGCTAAACACCAGCACAAGCCGCGTGGACGCTCACGGGCCTCACGCAGCCCCTCCGGGAGGCACTCTTGCTCGGAACCTTCCAACCTCGCTCCAGCCTCGCAGCTTCCTGCCCACCCTCAGCACTTCCTCTGCAGCCGACAGGCAGAGAGCTCCTGCCCAGAGCCCGAAAACCCCTCCTCACAGCTCGGCCAAGAACAGAGAGAAAGGAACCCATTACTCTCGTTCCAAAGGGCTGGGAAATGGCTTTGCTTTTCAACATGAAAAGCGCCTAAAAATAAGCTGTGAATTTCAACCAAAGACTGAAAATGGCTCCGGTAGTGAGCAGAGCTGCTCAGAGTGGGTTCAAGGACAGCCCTCCTTCCGACTGAGGGGTGAATGCCAGTCAGAGCTGGGGTCCTGGGCAGGGTTTCCAGGGCAGGGTTTCTAGGGCAGAGGGGCTGCCTCTACCTGGTCTGCCCGTCTGGCTTTTAACTGCCACACTCTAACAATAAAAAGCACACGGTCAGGAATTCAAGACCCAGCACCTGGCTCGATGGGCTTCCTACAATCCCCAAGTGCCCAGGCATGACTCACGGGGTAAAGCTGAGGCCCAGTGTATACGCAGAGCTGGGGGTGGGGTCATAGATTAGAGAGCTCATGGGCACAGGCCTGGTACTCATGGGCTCCCTGAGAAGCCAAGCCCGTGGTCAGACACCAAACCACTCACTAGGTACAATCCCAGTGCCCGGCAAGCCCACAGGTGGGAAGGGCAAGGATATTCTCCAATTTAAGTGAAGAAAACCAAGTTGCTCAGGGTCCTTTTTTGTTATTTACTATCACCTCTGGAAGATTCCAAAGTTTGACAAGCCAGACATTTCTACAAAATGGGCCTGTGTTAGAAACCCAGGCTGGAGAAGACGGGAGCTTTGCCTGGAACCACACAGCATGGTTCAGACCCCAGAGCCACATGCTTCCCCCAACTTGAGCCCCACGTGGGGATGCCCACCATGCCCACCCTGCCCTGTCCTGCTGGCTTCCCCAGCCACAGGCCTCTTCTTAGATGATCAGGACCCCAGCTCTGGGAAGCAAGGGTGCCCACACCCCATCTGAGCCAGGACTGAAGGGAAGAGAGGCAGCTTGTCCAGGTAACTTTCCTAATAACTCCGAGAAAAGGAGTGCGGGGTTCTCCCCTTGCTGGTGGTTACCAACCTTCCCAGGAGACAGGTGGTGCCTCCCCTGGGGTGGGGAAGGGCAGGAAGATGGAGTGGGGGGCGCTTAGCTGGAGCCAAAGGCTGGAGGGACTCAGGCTTCCTAGTTCTATTCTGGGCAGCCTGGGCTTGCTGGAGCCTTGGGCAAGTATTTCCTGTTGTTTGGGCCAGTTTC